GCGCTCGTTTTGTCCGTCACACAGCCTGAACTTCAGCCTTGCACCTTCGCGAGAGACAAAAAACGTGGTCAGCATGCGTCTCGCAAGATACGTCTTATGCGCGCGAGCACTGACGTAAAGGATGAAAATGACAGATGCTTACTCTCGACAATTAATGTAGATATAGGATACGTAAGATCATTTTTTGTTAAATTTAGATTATTGTTTGTGTAACATAGTGTAAAGCGTGCGTTTTTTTAAGATTAAATTTATATCCAGTTTTGAATTAATGAATAAAATAAATTTTTCCGCTATTTATTCTAATCTAACTGAGAGCTGTATGCAATCATAAATGTGAAATATTATGTTTACTGAATGGTTAATTCGACTGCGCTCGCAAGTTTTTGCTCTCTCAACCGCATTTATTCGTCATCGTTGTAGCCAAGGTTTCAGCTAACATTGTATATAGTAGTTTCTTGATGTTTCTTTCTCTTTCTTAAAGAGAAGGGATTTATATCAACAAGACAGCAACTCTAGAAGATCTAGAAAATAATACACACGCTTGTAGAGGTTGCAAAGTCTTGCTTTCTCAACCGCATATGAAAATAAGGGTATATTAGCCTAGAACACTATTCAAAGAGAAAGAGAGAGAGAAGAAAAATACTAAAACCGATATAAATCTCTTAAATTAACGTACCCCCATTCCTCAAAAATTAGGCTTGCATCAACATTTCTTGAAGTTCGAAAAAGTTTTCTTCCTACAACTTTCTTTGATGAAATACGTAATTTAGACAGCGGAGTCTATCTTTTTTTGGACAATATTTTATTCTACATGTTCTTCTAGATCTTTAAATCTCTGTTTTATTTTTGTTATCTCTTTACAATGATATTTACCATATTTCCATAATTTGTATATACCGATTTCGGGAGCCAATTTCTCAAACCTCAAGTTCTGTTTGCTTTTAAAAAATATCATTTATATAAAAGTTTGGAACAGTAATATCAAAACTGTAATAAAATTGGAGCAATCTTTAACAAATATGGATATATGTATATATATAAATGTTTGTTTTGAACTTTCAGCTAGAGGTTGGAAGCAACAAAAGAAAATAATATGTCAAAATTTTTTGATTTTTTTTGTGTATATATAATTTTTTATACATAATTTCTATCCATAATTTAAAAAAAAAATATATATATACATCCGTATATACATTATTATTACATATCATATATTATACGTTTTATATGACATTACTGAAATATCTCTAATAAAACATAATTGTTGCATAAATGAACTTAAGATAAAAAATTAAAATCTTAATTAAAAAGTAAAAAATATTTTGTTAAAAAGTAATTTCTCTACTTTAAATTTAAAGCCAAAGAATCTAGCAGTAAAAAACTTAATATAGTAAAAATAAAGTCTTGGATGAGATATAAATTGTTACAATACGCGATGTTTGCCTCAGGGGGAGAACCAGTGTAACAGTTTAAAAAAAGGCTATTTTTAAGGATTTTTTTTTCTGGTAAATAATTGTTTTTATTCCAAATCGCGTTATTAACATCACAAAATAATTCTTATAAAATCTTTAGCGAAATAATAAAATAGCGTATAACATACTCACGCACCACGCACACCGTTCGCGCGCCGTCTCTGATTCATGCGTAACCTAGAGCACTCATTAGTTAACTTAAAATTACTCTCATTTAAAAAGTATTGTTCAGACGTAATTTTGCCAGAGAAAAAAGTTGTTTTTTTTGGCACGGACAATCACGCTGTGCATTCCGAATGCGCGAATTCTGGGACACGCTGTATATACATCCTTTCGTTGTCTTTTTATAGACAATATAAAACGGACAATTGCAATACGGGAGATGTATTGATAGGGTGCGCGATTTTGCTCCATATTTTCTTTATTACAAGTTAACTCCTTTCATCTGTCAAGTGCCGCAGGTGTGATTCTTGCAACAGATGCTTGAATGAGACGAATGACTCGATGCACGTAACAATAGTTATTACTTGAAATCATTGATATAAACGAGCTCTCGGATATCTTTACTTATCCCAATAACCGCAATAAAGTGTCTTTATCTCTTGAATTATTTATACATTAATTGAATTTGCTACAATTATAGGTGCTAACCGAGAATATATCCTCTGAGGAAGATCTCCCATAAGTATCAGCAATAATTTGTTAACAACATATTTTTTTTATATATAAATACATTGTTGCTTATTTTTATTTGTAGGATGTTTTTTTATATTATTTTAAATTTAGGTTCAAAATCATTGACATATTTTTAATGACAGCACAATTTTGTTGAAATTGTTTGAAAAGTATTATTTTATCTCTTTTTATTTCAGAGGTTTTTGAGCGATAACTTCTTAAGAAAGCATTTTTCGATCCATGTTTATAAGAAATTTTTTGGTCAGAATTAAATTTTCTATAAGATCTCAAAGTCTGGCTGGAACATTCGGGGCCACCCTGTATATATGCTGTACAAATATTGAATATAATTATTAAATCTATTATTAGAATAAAAATAATTATTATTGATTAAACAATCGAGCAGCATTGGAGAACGCGCGGGTGGATGCCAATGAAAAAATGGTTTATGTTTATTATTAGTTTATTTTAATTTTGGTTTATATTTAAATTTTCTCTCTACAAAAAAAATGCGCTTTACCACCCATGTAACTGGTTTTGCGATCTCGTTTTCTTTTTTCTTTTTTTACGGACTTGAGATTTCCTTCGACGTTAGCCTTGACGTCGAATACACTCGCGAGAGAGGTAAAAGTCAAATGCAGTGAACTTGCTTGTTGCCGCTACCAGCAGTTATCCAGGAATGTAATAACTTTACGTACGTGCGCATGGAAATTGCTAAACACGTATTAAATGCAATGATTGCTCAACGTTGCATATCCTCTGCGACGCCTGTATCGTTTAAGAGCATCGAAACGACATTCGGAATTCTTTGAAAAATGAAATTGTTTGTTATTATAAATAAATTGTTATTAAATCGTATTTGATGTAGATATCTTTCATCGCATCGGTACATTTGCATTGTTTATGGGTGTATTTGCGAGCGCGATGTCACGAAATAAGCGCGCGATTTATTATAGTAGAGTATATTAATAAATAAAATAAATAAATAAATAATTAAAATAAAATAAAAAAATAAATATTATAAAATAAAAAATATTACTATGCAGAAGAATAAAGAGATGTTTTCATGTAAATAACACAACATTTAATTGTATAATTACATGTAAAAATTAAAATTATATATAAAAGTCTAGCGACGTTCTAATCCAGTGCTCGGAGATAGTTGCCCTTTTTGGGCCGATTCCGTGGCTCACGCCATAATTAAAAGATTAGTTTTTATAATAGGCATTGCGAGAAGAATATTTAATGTACCTTAATTATACGAAATTCCATATCACATAGCCGGTTATATCTAATGAAACAGTATACTAAATGCCAAGAAATCATGGGAAATTCGATAACGAAAGGGGACATCCCCGAGCACTGTATCTAATCTAGAATCTAATTTTTATCTAGAGTCTAAATTTCACAAGAATTTGATTTCTAGGAAATTAGCATATATTATGTATGCAAATGACAGGTATTGTTTTGTAAGACAGAAAGTTTGCAAAGAAGTGACATTTACGAGTGTTTACAATACGCCTCGCTCGGAAAAATTGGTGCAGGTTAGTTTAGTTAATTATTTTCAAGCTTCTTATATACGCGCGCGCCGGACTTACAAGGTTACCGATCACCGACCACCGGCGATCGGCTTATTGCGTACACTTGTATGCTTATACAGGGTGTCCCATAATTCGCGGATCATAAATGAATCTTTATATACAGTGTAAGATTTGCACCGATGTAAAAAAACAAAGATCTATCATTATTATATAAATACACATACATACATCTTTTCTCTCCTAATGACTTTTTTGATTCACGGATATTCTTTAATGTATTTTCTTTAATTTTATTATTATCTAGTTTTTAAACTTAAGAGGATGCCGGACCGTCCTGTTTTACCGGCCATAATAATTATATCACTTTTTATATGAAATCATAAATTCCGCACTCCGTTATTATGTATACTTTAATTATGGAAAAGGATTTGTTGATATCTATAATCAACAAAAATATTTTGCATTTTAACTAATATTCGTATTCTGTCGATATCCGGCATCCTCTTATGTTGTACATTAATCTGAGATATTACTTAGGAAGATAAAAGATTCACACACATATATTTAAACGCATATCTTTGAAGAAAAAAATTATACAAATATCTTTTTCATTTATTATATAATTAAAACTCATTACCAGAATGGAATATTAATTGATAATATTTATTATCATTTTGCGGCAAGGCACGCAATTGGGGAATCTTAATTAGCACTATTTTTTTCCGAGTAGTAAAAGCTATGACGCGGACGTGTTGCAAGAGTAGTAATTGCTCGAATAAGGTCAGACCAGCGACAGTAGTAAGTCGCGCGTTACATCGGACCTATACCGAGAGAGATATCTCTATTCTTGCGTGCAATATTACATATTAAATAATTGTCCCGTTCAAACTACTGTCACGCTTATCGCTTTGTTTTGCTAATCGACTTATCTAATACATCTTTATCTCTCCATGATAAGCAAATAATAAATTAATTATTATAAGATTAAAAGAGCGAGTTAGAAACAGCGAGATAAATACGGGCATTTACGTCTGCTTAAAAGACAATGTGTGACAAACTATTTCTAATTTGCTTTTTATTTTTATTATTTTTATTTATATTGGCTTTTATTGAATGAAAGTCTTAAAATTATAATATATTCATATAATTACGTATTCTTTTGTAGAGGTAGAGACAATTTGGTATTACTTCATTAATTCGTATAGTTAATAAAAAATATTTTCTTTGTTCTCTCTCTTCTCTTTCTCTCTCTATCTCTTTTAAAATTTAATAAAATAAAATTTAAATAAATTGCATTACAGCTATAAGTAAAAAGATAACATTGATAATATGTACACGGTTCTAAGAATATTTGATAGTCATGTTTGAAACTGGGATATGGTAAATATTTGTGGTATTGCGTAGTTAATTTTTTACGGCATAATATAAGTTTATGGTCAATATTTGACGTAATACGGAGAGAACTTTCTTCTTTTTCCATTTGCAGAACAAAACGAATACGCGAGACAACAGGATAGGTCTTGCGAGGGCAACGAGCACTATGCAAACGCAGATGCCTGGATCTTTGCCCGATTACCAAATCGATCCTTACAGACTTGCAGAGGACGACTTTAAGGATATGTTCGGCGACATACGACTGGTAAATTTTATTATTATTATTATTTTATTGCATCTAAGAAATCGTAGGATTCATCCTTCTAGCTTTTTTGGGGGGGATAAAATCGATGATAAATAGAATATATATAAGAATCATTTTTTGTGATTCTTATATTCTATTTTTTATAATCTCTAATTTATTGATATATTTTAAAAAATGGATATAATATTTAGTCTTTTTAAATTGGTTAGTCTTCTTTAATTCGCAGCATTTAACTATTATAATCTTTATATTTAAATTATAATTACATCATTCCTGCCCACGCGTATATAAAACGGTTATCTATCTGTTATTTTCAATCGTAATCTCGTTAAATCTTGTGAAAACATAAATTATCCTCCCACGTAGGACATTTTCAATGCAAAAATTATAATTATGTAATAAATCAACAATTTTTAATTATTATCATAATTATATAATAAATAAAAAATTTTTCTCTTCTCTTAATGTATAAGTTTTAACGAATATTGAAATAAATATAGTAATTGCGCAAAGTCTTGATGGACACAATATGCCATTACTGAACAAGTAATACACGAATTCATTACATAAAAGAAGCCGAAGGCTATTAATCCCTATTCGTACGAGGCGATTGTCATTTACATGTACAGCCTCGAGAAACTTTCGGGAAGTAAGAGCATACCGTCTTAATACCGGCTATTTATGTAATTGACTTCATCGATATTACGTATGCGCTGTATTATGAAATAGTGCCGGCCAACGTACGACGAACCCAGCGATGCAGCAAAGATGCGTGTGTCAAAAAGTGTAATTAGAAGAAAACCGCGTGTAATCGAATTGCTTTTTGATTTCACATAACGGTTCAGCTAATTCCTTATTCCTTGATCCGGAATAAAATAACTAGATTTAGATTACGCGAGTAATATTTTTGTTCCAATATTTTTACATAGTGTCGCGAAAAATTATAAGTATACAAGATAAAATACTCTTTTTTTAATTTTTATTATAAATATACTTTTATTTGTTTTTTCTTAAGGATGTGTCATATGTCAAAACATTGATAAAAGCATGAAAATTTTGTAGACTGTTCTACTATTTCTTCTGAATATCTGTGCAAAACTTGAGCACAATTCTCTTAACGGTTTGGAAATTTTTTAAGTTTAAAATTAATATTGATTTTTATGAAAAATTTCAGAGTGTATTCGCGATCAAAAGTTTTTTTCATAAATTACGAAAAATATTAATTACAACTATTTTCTTTTACGAAGACCATTAAAAACCATATTATTTTGTAATACTTTAATTCTCTTATAATCCGGATTTATTTGATTTTTCAAATAGTATAAACGTAAGAAATATGTTTTTCTCTTCAATTTTGACAGTTTTTTGCTACTATTGTACAGCCCAAACATCCTTAAGAGGATGCCGGATACCAACAGAATACGAATATTAGTTAAAATGCAAAATATTTTTGTTGATTATAGATATCAACAAATCTTTTTCCATAATTAAAGTATACATGATAACGGAGTGCGGAGTTTATGATTTCATATGAAAAGTGAAAAAATTGCATCTAAGAAATCGTAGGATTCATCCTTCTAGCTTTTTTGGGGGGGATAAAATCGATGATAAATAGAATATATATAAGAATCATTTTTTGTGATTCTTATATTCTATTTTTTATAATCTCTAATTTATTGATATATTTTAAAAAATGGATATAATATTTAGTCTTTTTAAATTGGTTAGTCTTCTTTAATTCGCAGCATTTAACTATTATAATCTTTATATTTAAATTATAATTACATCATTCCTGCCCACGCGTATATAAAACGGTTATCTATCTGTTATTTTCAATCGTAATCTCGTTAAATCTTGTGAAAACATAAATTATCCTCCCACGTAGGACATTTTCAATGCAAAAATTATAATTATGTAATAAATCAACAATTTTTAATTATTATCATAATTATATAATAAATAAAAAATTTTTCTCTTCTCTTAATGTATAAGTTTTAACGAATATTGAAATAAATATAGTAATTGCGCAAAGTCTTGATGGACACAATATGCCATTACTGAACAAGTAATACACGAATTCATTACATAAAAGAAGCCGAAGGCTATTAATCCCTATTCGTACGAGGCGATTGTCATTTACATGTACAGCCTCGAGAAACTTTCGGGAAGTAAGAGCATACCGTCTTAACGGCTATTTATGTAATTGACTTCATCGATATTACGTATGCGCTGTATTATGAAATAGTGCCGGCCAACGTACGACGAACCCAGCGATGCAGCAAAGATGCGTGTGTCAAAAAGTGTAATTAGAAGAAAACCGCGTGTAATCGAATTGCTTTTTGATTTCACATAACGGTTCAGCTAATTCCTTATTCCTTGATCCGGAATAAAATAACTAGATTTAGATTACGCGAGTAATATTTTTGTTCCAATATTTTTACATAGTGTCGCGAAAAATTATAAGTATACAAGATAAAATACTCTTTTTTTAATTTTTATTATAAATATACTTTTATTTGTTTTTTCTTAAGGATGTGTCATATGTCAAAACATTGATAAAAGCATGAAAATTTTGTAGACTGTTCTACTATTTCTTCTGAATATCTGTGCAAAACTTGAGCACAATTCTCTTAACGGTTTGGAAATTTTTTAAGTTTAAAATTAATATTGATTTTTATGAAAAATCGCGTATTGTAGTATTTATTGACAAATTTGACAAGAAAAAAACATTGCCAACAAAATAAAAATTTTTACATATATTAAGAAAATTCTAATAAATATTTGTGCAAAATTCTCTTCAATTTTGACAGTTTTTTGCTACTATTGTACAGCCCAAACATCCTTAAGAGGATGCCGGATACCAACAGAATACGAATATTAGTTAAAATGCAAAATATTTTTGTTGATTATAGATATCAACAAATCTTTTTCCATAATTAAAGTATACATGATAACGGAGTGCGGAGTTTATGATTTCATATGAAAAGTGAAAAAAAATTAAAAAATTACAGTTTTGTTATCGGCTTCTGCCGTCAACATTTACGTAATATAAAAAATTTGTGATCTGCACGTGCCTAACAAATGGACTCCGCACTCGGCATTTTATTAAAGTAGAAGCTTTATAAAAAAGATTTTACTATGCAAAATTTTGCACACCGAAATGTTTTTTACTAGGCTTCTAAATACATTTTTAAACGTTCACTTATATTCTTTCATGCATTTCCGAGTGGAGAAGTATCTTATTTTGCACGTACATATTGCAAAACTTTTATATTAAGCAAATATATAATTATTATGGCCGGTAAAACAGGACGGTCCGGCATCCTCTTAAGTTTCTAAAATTTTAAATGGCACATGGAATTTTCACGATTGTTATAAAGGCACGTTTACAGATATTGATGAAGAGCCGTACGGTTTTTACGTGACTGCGTCTTCACTTAATGCGTTTTAGCCCGTCAGCGAAAGCAGCTGGTTTGTGTGTGGTCGAGTCGAGAAAAGTTACTCACAATCGTTCGTGTACAGCATATAGTGTGAAATTCGCTCGATCTGTGAAAAAGAAAGTATTCTATTTGGTTGTTTTGTTATAAATCGAAACAAAAATATTCTGTATTCTCCTATTGCTTTCAAATTATTTATTTCTCTGAGGAATTAATTTTTGACATTTGTACAAAAATTAATTTATTTATTTTATATAGATATTATTAGAATGTGTGTACGTAGGCGAGTGGAATAATATTAGTATGTAGGGCCCAGGTAGCTTATAAGGAAAGAATGTAATATGTTGATTGATCATTGATTCTTCTCATCTTTTACGAGCATGAAGTAATTGAATCATGTAACCAACTATATAAACGAGATGGCACGCTTCTCAAGTATTACAGAGAAATTTGACCGCAAAGTCTTAACATAATGTTCGAATATTCATCAACTGCGACTGCCATCAAGAAACGCGGTAGCTAATATAGGCTTTTGTCTCTAAATTAATAAAGGTGTGGAATCAAGGCCAACTATTTTATATGATATATCCTTATACACAGGGTGTCCCGTAACTGGTGATATAATTGGGGGAAGATAATGTTTCTATGTAAAAAAAATTAATCGAAAATATATGAAATAAAATTTTTTTCAAGCCTTTGTTTTGACTTTAAAATTTAGAAAATTAATAATATATATTTACAATTTTTTAAGCTTGAATGATCTCTAATGACTTTATATTACATATCTTCAACTATTAGCCTCGTATGAAAAGAATTTATTCTACACTTTCTACATATTTTTTTTCACATAGAATAAAATTTTCTCGATTGTATCAGCTAAGTTAAAGCTCAAGTTAAAGCTCAGTTAAAGCACATCTTGTATACTTTTACAATTGCAACTAGAGAGTATAATAGTATACACGTCGATTATAAAATAATAAGACTAATACAGAATAATAAGAATAGTCTTATGCAAACGTAAAATCCTAAATTGGATTCAATGTGTCGATCTAATCATTCGCGTTCGATTTTTTTCTCGTTCATATGCTGATAATTTATATAAATAAATATAAACGATATAAAGATATTAAAATTTCAATACTTTAATTTTGAAAATTTTTGTTTATTAAAATTATCGATTCTTAAAAATAGAAACGGTTTAACAGTATATTGTAGACATTTAACGTTACGGTGAAACAAAAGAAATTGCACTTAACGAACCATTTTAACTTCAACGAACGTTACTTTATATGAGGAAAGTTAGAGAAATCGGAGTATCATATACATAAATTATTATTATTATTATTATAACATCGATAACTTAAACAATATCGAATCTCCTCAATTTCAATTTCTGGTCGTGTGAGAAAAAAAAACGATAATGACATAGAAATCGAAAGTTATTTTCGACTCTGGCCAAATTCCAGAAAGAACTTTCAGTCTGTGTCACGTCTGGAATTCAAAGCGGCTCGTCTGATTGGCGGAATCCAGTTTTGTTCATTGCAGCGAAGATAGTTGATATTTAATTCACGGAACGATTTTCAATACCGTTTCGAAAAGACGAGAGTCAGATTTCTCTCTAGCTTACGCATTTCGCCTTTCGAAGTTGCGGGAACAAGTTTTACGGAAATGTCTCGGACGTGATCATAGTTGATTAAAGCGGCGTCTACAATAAGATTTTAAGCCCTAAGCCTTAAGAAATTGACTAATCACAGTTGAGTATTCTCTTCATATTTGACTGTGATTGGTCAATTTCTTAAGGCTTAGGACTTAAAATCTCTATTGTAGACGCCGCTTAATATCATATCTAATACAGCGTGTTCAGTAATAGGCGCATTCAGGAGTTTACAGGCCGATATTTCTTGTTAAAAATTGAAATAATCTTTTCGTAACAAAAATATCGTGACATAAATAGCTTTCGAGCTATTTTCAATTTGAAATATACGAGATTTAGCAAATGATCCTTTTCAGGAATAGAAATGATCGATATTTTTCGTTGAAAACTAGAATTATCTTTCCGTAATAGAATAGTTTTCGAACTGTGTCTGAAAATGGCGAAATGTAAATGCTTTAGGGATGAAAATGACCTCAGAAATAAATAAACAAAGCCTAAACTTTTGATTCATCTTACACTGAAAAAAATAAGTCGTTAACTTGACTAAAATGCATTTAATTAAACGTTGGAATATTTAAGTAATTTATTTGATTTAAATACTTAAATATTTCAATTAGAAAAATGATAACTAATTAAACGTATTTAATTAAGTTAACGACTTTGTTTCTCAGTGTAGGCGAACCTTATTTTAAAGAATTGACTTGACGTATCGTTGTTACGGTTTTAATTGTATGGAGAGGGATGTTTTATTTATAAATTACATATAAAATTAAT